CTTTAATGTGTACTTTAAAAATAAAGAACTAAAGAAAAAATTTAAATTATCTATTTGTGGTAATAATATTTAAAGGTACAATGGATAAAACTGCAAATAAAGCTAAAACGATTAAATATGTAACTTCCAACCTCTAACAAAATTTTTTTTTAAATAGTGACAACAAACTGCTAGCAATTTGGCAGTTATTTTATTGATTTTATTCATTCCAAATCTTCATTTTATGCCTAGATTTTTATTTCGTGAACTCTAAATAATAAATAAAATACTGTCATTCCTATACTAGGTTTTCTTAAGTTTAGAAACATACAATGAATTTTCACTAAAGCTATCTGCTGGCCTAAGGAGCTCTGGTAGCATAGTGGCTATAAATTGGGCTGCTAATCTCATGGTCAGCAGTTCGAAACTACCAGCTGTTCCACAAAAGAAAGATGAGGCTTTCTGCTCCCGTAAAGATTTATAGCCTCGGAAACCCTATTCGGTGTCACTATGGGTCAGAATTGACTCAACAGCACTTAATAACATCTGCTGGTCTAAAGATAAAGAACACAAATGTTAACTAAGAAATGGCTTGTAATGCCAGAGATTAAAATGCCTTATTGCTCACATTGCTTTATTGAATTTGTACTGTATTAAACAACAACAAAAAGAGAAAACCTAAATCCAGCTGAGAATTGTTAGGTACATACATAACTATCATGAAAATTATAAAGGTAACTTTATAATTATCACCTCTTCACTCACACCCTTAGAACAAAGACAGAAGAAAGCCAAAAGACAAGGAAGTTACAAGGAATCTCACAAATCAGATCATGTATTGCTATTCAGATTTTTAAGTGGCATTAAGAATTTCTGTATGCCTTAATTCAGAATACCAATGGACCTATCTCTACAATAGTATGGATACTAGAGTAGTGGTTACAATTCAGGCTGGCTGCTAACCTCACAGTCAGCAGTTCAAAACTACCAGCTGTTCTGCAGTACAGGGTAGCTATGAGTCAGAACCGACTCCACGGCACATAACAACAACAATGTAGGGCTTCCAAGGAGTCCTGGTGTGGCGCTGTGGGTTAATGCACCAGACTGCAAAGCCATTTGAACTGCAAGGTTGGCAGTTCAAGCTCACCAACTGCTCCTTGGAAACCCTATAGAGGGTCGCTATGGGTCAGAATTGACTCGACAGCACTTAACAACAACATACGGCTTCCAAAGGAGCTCTGGTAGCGCAGTGGATACAAATTGGGCTGCTAACCTCAAGGTCAGCATTTCCAAACTACCAGCCGTTCGCTTGGGAACCCTGGGCAGGTCACTATGAGTCGGAACCAACTCCATGGTACTTAACAACAACAATATAGGGTTTCCAAGGAGTGGCTGGGCTGGTAAGCTTGAATCACCAATCTTAAGGTTCAAATCAATCTTGCTTAAAAGTATATTTTTAAAAACGGAATGATTTTAAACACATGCAATTTGGACAGGGAAAAAGTTTTTTTAAATTTCTACTTTACTTGTTAAGTACCATAGAGTTAGTTCAGACTCATAGCGACTTTGTATAGGGTTTCTGAGGAGCAACTGGTAGGTTTGAGCTGCCAACCTTGTGGTTCACAGTCCAGAACTGACCCTACAGCGCCATACCAGGAGTTAGACTGGACAGGTGTTAAACTGGACAGATGTACCCCATTAAGAATAGAAAAAGATCCAGGATCTAGTATGATATTTACCAAATTAATCATTTTAAAACTACCATTTAAAATTTCAAGTCTAATGAGAAGTCCATAGATATTATGAACAGCTCTGTATTTCAGAAGAGCTCTTAAAATCTCTCCTCCCGGTCTTAATTCATTTTATAAGCATTCTCCTCACAATTTCTTTCTTGCTAGGTTATTCCTTAACTCCACTATTAATAATTAACATTAATTATTAATACTAATAATTTTAGTAACCAGCCAAATTTTAATCTTGACTTTTCTTTATTCACATAGGCCCCCACCCTTTCCTGTTCCTTGTTGTTGTTAAGTGCCGTCGAGTCGGTTCCGACCCATAGCGACCCTGTACAGGGTTTCCGAGGGTGTAAATCCTTACGGGAGTAGAAAGCCTCATCTTTCTCCCGCGGAGCGGCTGGTAGTTTCGAACCGCTGACCTTAAGGTTCGCAGCCCGATTCGTAACCACTACGCTACCAGAGTAATTTTAAATAAAAGTGGTAGCCCTCCTGACTTTTTAAAAAAGTACTTACAGAAAAAAATTTCCATGTTCTTATAGATTGTTGTTGTTAAGTGCCGTCGAGTCGGTTCCGACCCATAGCGACCCTGTACAGGGTTTCCGAGGGTGTAAATCTTTACGGGAGTAGAAAGCCTCATCTTTCTCCCGCGGAGCGGCTGGTAGTTTCGAACCGCTGACCTTAAGGTTCGCAGCCCGATTCGTAACCACTACGCTACTATACATAGATAATATTTGGAAACCCTATACAGGGTCGTTAATGAATCAGAACTGACTCCACGGTACATAACCACCACAATATTTCTATGAGAAATAGACATTTTACATAATTAAGACTTAGGATAGTCTTAAATGAAGGTGAACCATCAGCTATTTCACTGTTATGTACAAATATTAAATTCTATAACTAGATTGTTAAGTGATGTTGAATCTGTTGGGACTCATAGAGACTCTGTATAGGGTTTGTTGTTGTTAAGTGCTATAACAACATTGTATAGGATTTCCAAGGAGCCGCTGGTGTATTTGAACTGCCAACTTTGAGATTCAAACTGACCTTGCAGTTCAGCGAGGCTATAAATCTTTGTGGGAACAGAAAACCTCATCTTTGTCCCACAGAGCAGCTGCTAGCTCAAACCATCAACTCTGTGGGTCCCAATTTAGAGTCAATCAAGCGCCCATGACTGTTAGGTGCTCTCAGTCGGTTCCTTGGGAACATGGATAGTGTTTCTGAGGAGTGGCTGGTGAGTTTGAAGAACCGAACTTGCGTTAAAACCGACCCTGAGGTCCAGTGCTTACCCTACAGCTAAATTATTGTTGTTGTCATGTGCCGTGGAGTCGGTTCTGACTCATAGCGACCCTGTACAGACTTTCCAAGGCTGTAAATCTTTAAGGGAGTAGAAAGCCTCGTCTTTCTCCCGCGGAACCAGCTGGTAGTTTCAAACTGCTGACCTTGTGGTTTGCAGCCCAATTTGTAACCTCTACAGCTAAATTAGGTGCTGTCATATTTGAAGGATAATTTGTCTTTACAGTGAAAACAATAGCTGTGTTTCTGGAAATCTCTGGCAAATTTATAATAACATACACAAGTAGACAGTAATTCTTAAGTAAGCCATTCATTTGTGATTTGACTAATGATTAAAAAAACACATTTGTCCTTGAATTTACTAAAGATATAATAATCTCATGTATGTCAGAGCAGAACTGTGCTCCATAGGGTTTACAATGGCTGATTTTTCACAAGGAGATGGCCAAGCATCTTTTCCAAGGCATCTCTGGATGGACTCCTAACTTCAACCTTTTGGTTAGCAGCGCAATGCATTAACCATTGGCACCACAACCATTTGCACCTCCCAGGGTTCCTACCTAATGATCTCTTCAATGTTTTAAAGAAAGCAATGGTTGTTTGAAAAGAAAACAAAAATACACATCATCTATGAGTAAATTTTTGGGAACTTTTGGCCTAAATGTATCAAGGAACATTATTTTCAAAAAAGCCTTGGCTGACCAGAGAAAACATACATATATTTTATTGTCCCTAGAAAGGATCATTGTCTACTCCACTAGATTGAAACTTGAGGCTGAGGAAGTGTTCACCACTGGACTTCCAGCACCAAAATCGTGTTTGGCACACACACAGATGGCCCTCAACAAATATTTGTTAAATTAAAAATACCTGTCACTTTCAAGTGTTTGCCAATCAAATTTCCAGAATAGGTACAGCGACATGCTAATGTTTAACAATGTTTTAGAATTCACTGCCTTATACGTATCATTTTACAAAACACTTCTGCGCTCACCACCTTATTAAGTCCCTCTGCAAATACAGTTAAAAATATATACTTTAGTAAATGGTAAAGATCTTATAATCAGCCTAGAAATTAATGTATCCGGGGCTCATGAATTCCTCTAAAAGTTAATGATTTTTAACAGAATCTAGCCTCGTAGTCTGATTTTCACTAGGTTACTTTTTTGGAATCCCTTGGCTGAGGTGCCACCCTTTCACCGCGCCACATAAACAGAAGGAAAGGTAAACAAACGACACCCTTAAGACATTATCTCGAACTGTCAAGTTGGGAAAACCGGAAACTATTGCTGACTCAACTAAGCTTTCAAAAGGAATTCCTGCGGGAGTGTCCCCTATTTCCCTGGCCACTTTTCTGTGTGGCCCGAGATTTTCCCGGGGATCAGGAGTCTGAGGCGTCACCTAGTACTCGGAGCCCTGTTTATGTCTCGGTGGCCGCACAATGACAGTGACACCGCGGTCCTCACGTGGTGTGCGTCCGGGACGGCCAGCAAGGCGACTTGCGTACCGGGGGACCCCAACAGTGACAGTCCTTCACTACAGCCCCTTGCGGCGCCCACGAAGGGAAATCGGCCAGGTTCCGAAAGAGGAGCCGCAGCCGGGGCAAGCGGTGGTTCCGGAGGGGCTTTAACCGGGGCTTGGGGATTTTAACCGGGGCTTGGGGATTTTTTTTTTTTTTTTTTACATGTTGTGCCTCTTTCAGAGTTTCTGCGAATTGTCAATACTTCGACCCCAAAGTCAGTAGGCCTTAGGGCGTGCGGGCAAGGGAGCACAAGAGGTTTACTTCAAATTTGGGAAACAGCTGCTCCAGAGGTTGGCAGAGCCCCGTCCTACGGAGAAAGTGCGGGGTTTGCCAAGCAAAACATTGTTTATCCGCTCACAACACCGGGTATGGGGTACGTTTCGTGCCCTCACGGGGTCCCCACCCGTTGCTCGTTCAGTTTCCCAAGTGCCAAAGGCTCAAGCAAGGAACTACTTCTTTACCTCTCTGAGCGGAGGCAAGCGAGGAAGTGATGAGCCGCGCAGCGACCGCGCTGCAAGTACAAGCGCCGCAGCCAGACATCTCCGCGGGGCCTAGGGGTTTCACCCCCCTTATTGCCCTCCAGGCTTCAGCGGCTCGACGCTTATTCGTAGGTCGTGATGACTTGGTTCCGGGTCCTCCCGGTGGTTTTAGACCCAGTGTAGAGTTCACTCAACCGGCGGCCAGACCGTAGTGCTCTTCGTGCCCCACCGCGGTCTACTCACCAGGGTAGACACCTAACCCCCTCCCTCCCCCTTCTCCTCCACCACCCCCCGCCCATCGGACTCCGGGAGCGTGCGCACGCCTGCGTCCTGGGCCCGGGAGGGGGCGTGTGTAGGCACTGCGCATGCGTGCTTGAGACACCGACGTGCGGCGAGGAGAAGGGGGCGGTGACCTGGGCACCAATGAACACGCGACGGCAGGCGGCCAGGCCCAACTGAAGGGACTTCAGATTCCGACACGCAATTCTTCCGGAAGTTCATTTACCCTCGGGTTGAGTGATGTGAGATTGACACAGACAGATGGATGCCGGGAGTGGAAGTCTCAGCTTGTCGTTAGTTCACGTCTGGTTATTTTTGCTGGTTGATAATGGGGAAGACCATCGTGAGGCCGGTAGCCTGAATGGTCCCAGAGACAATCTGTAAAGTGACTCCACTGCAACTGGGTCCTTCCCCTAGGGGATTCCATACCTTCCCTGTGTTCCTTATCCTCTCATCCTTAATTTCCTTACCTGATACATTGTTGTTAAGTACTGTGGAGTCAGTTCAGACTCTGACCCTCCTTTACTGGGTTTCCGAGGCTATAAATCTTCACGGGAGCAGAAAGCCTCATCTTTCTCCCGCGGAACAGCTGGTAGTTTCGAACTGCCAACCTTGAGGTTAGCAGCCCAATTCCTAACCAATAGACGTATTTTTGTCCACGTTCCCTGAGTCACTTGTGAACATCAAAATGCAACAACTATTGGGTAGTGACAAGGTGCTCTGGTACAGTAATGATTACGAGTCGGGCTCAGGGTTAGCAGTTCGAAACGATCAGCCATCCCGCGGGAGAAGCATGAGGCTTTCTGCTGCTCCCATAAAGATTTACAGCCTTGGAAACCTATGCAGAGTCGTTATGAGTTCGGACCGACTCCACAGCACACCATTACCACCACCATTGGGTGGTGACAGCTCCTTCCTGCTCTTTCAGGCCTAGTGGTGGTAGGGCTTCCAGCTGTTTCTAGCCCCTCTGAGTGTTTTACAGTCATTTTTCAGTTGTCTCAAAAGTGACCACAGCCTGTTAAACAGTCCCTTTGTAAACTCTCTGCAGTTACTTTTTGGGCCCTAGACGAGGCATTCTGCTCCCTTAAAGATTTACAGCCTCGGAAACCCTGTACAGGGTCGCTGAGTCAACTGACTTCACGGCAGACCACCACTACCACCACTACCACCATCATGTCTGTAGTGATCCTGATGCCTATCCACGACTGAAGCAAACTGACCAGCTGTACAAGGTGGAGACCTTTCTCCCATCTGTGTTAGAGCCAGTCTGGGTACTTACTTTGTACTCAAATAAGATTCTGTTGACTTCTTATCCCCAGAAAAATTGCAGGTGAGTTTGAGTGCCTTTAGTTCTGAAATATAGGGGAGAGGAGAGGTCAGCCAGGGGCTCAAGACCTAGCTACATAAGTCAATTAGCACTCATCAATCACCAGCCAGAGAAGTGTGACCTAAGTTCCCTTGGTTTAGCTGTGGGAAGGGTCATTAACAGAATTTTGAGAGACGAGAGACTCTGGAGTTGTTTCAGTCCAGTGTTTTTTTCAAACTGTTTCTAGAATCGCTCTGAAACCATAGCTGTGTGGTGGGTATGATAGAGTCAAGAGAGTGGAGCTCCCCTGACCTCACTCTATCTGACAATCATTCAGAGCAGCTCTGTTTTAGATCTGTTTCAGCTATTGAGATTTTGTTTGAAAATGGTTATTTCACTTTGAAACAATGTTTGAAACTATTAACTCTAGAACAGGCCATTGATTAGAGGTGAGCTCCTCCTTTTGAAAATGAGCAACACCCAATTTAAATGTCTTTAATCCTACCCCACCTTCTATGCATATTTTAATTAGATGACTGTTTTCTAATTATAGAACTAAAGAAGAGATTGTTTGCTAAAATCTGTAGACTACAGTGTTAGTGTTTATGAATCGGGCTGCGAACCGCATGGTCAGCAGTTTGAAACTACCAGCTGCTCCTGGGGAGAAAGATGAGGCTTTCTGCTCCCGTAAAGATTTACAGCCTTGGAAACCCTGCACAGGGTCGCTATGGGTCAGAACTGACTGCACGGCACATAACAACAAAAACAACAACAGTGTAGGTAAGTCAAAACTCATCTGGGAATACTAGTCCATGAAGCCATCTCTTTCTCTGTCAGGAAATACGTCTTGGGCATTAATTGTCAGGCATGAACAAAAAAATGTTTTTCCTCTGATGGAATTTCCATTCTAGCAGAGCTAGCCATGACAGTGATACTGAGTTGGGCTACAGAAGACTAGAAAGTCATGAAATACAGTATAAAAGAGGTTTATTGAAAAAATACCTGCAGGGGAGATGTGTTATAGACAGCAGAGCCTCTATGTGCTCCCTGTCTAAGGTGTGTTTATAGTGAGGGGTTAAGTTGCAGAGGTAGTTCTACCAGATTTCAAAAAATGGGGCGGGCTTTCCTGTTGGCATCATTCTGCTTTCTTACATTGCTTGCTTCTTAATTTTTTTTTCCCATGCTGCATGTGCATTTGGCATCCATGGTGGAGTCTAAGATTTCCAGATGGATTTTGTTGCAGACACATCTGGGATACTTGACATAACTGATTAAGGGGGAGGATTCACAAGCCCCACAGGCTTCCAGAATTATACCCTCCATAAGGAGATTGTTTTTTCATTTTATTTCATTTTTATCCTGTCCACCTGACAAGGAAATAGATTTTTAAAAAATCTTGTTTATATCGTGTTCTTTGTATTTGGAAGTTGTTTTTTTTCTTAATAGTTCCATTGATCTTTTCCTGTTGCCTCCACTACTGAACTTTTTCCTTAGTAATTTTCTCCCTTGCCTTAACATTTCCCCACCACAGAGACTTGCAACCTAAACTTTTTGGTGGGTAAGGGATGGAGGTTTCATTTTCTTGGAGTTAATTCTGGCTGGCAGTGTGTCATAGGCCTCTCTAATACTGTAGAAGTCTCTGTGCTAAGGGGTCAGGGGAGATGAGATAGAAGTGTGATAATCTTGTAAATTCAGCATTAGTAAGTGAGGATCCTGAACCTAGAGGAAATAAGTCTAGTAAATAGATTGAGGAGTCAGGGGCCAAATAATAAGATGCATATGAAGAAGAAAAAGAAAATGGTGAGAATAGGAAAAAATAGAAACCAAAGTCAGGAAATCCAGGACTGGCTTACCATAGAGTCAGGCCTTGTATGATCTGAGACATGCTAAGGTCTTGGAGCCAGTTCGTATGGTTAAAGATGTCATTGGTTCATATCTTGACTTTTGCAGAAGTACTGATATAGGTGGTATTTATGATGGCATAGACAGTCATGAGAAGCGAGTAGATAGTCAAGTACTTATGTGGTTATCTAAGACTACATTAACTAATGAGTTCAGGGACTTCTGCATTTCTTTTAAGGCTCCTCTCATTTCATTAGAGAGATGTTCGGCAGTGAGGTTAGAGATGATTCATTTATCCTCAGTGTACCCTTCCCAAGGAACTGCCAATGCAAAAATTTTCCTGCCTCAAGTTAAGATAATTGTTTAGGAGGCTACACTGGCATCAAGCATGAGATGAGGGGAAGGCATAATTATAAAGGAAGTGTTGGGGTGCTATGCATCCTAGAGAGCACTGGCTGAATATAAGATGAAGGCTTAGGCATTGGGTGGCTATGTTTGGACAGACTGAATCACTGCAAAGACAATTAGTGTAGGCACATAGGGAAATCATGCCTTGTAGGGTGCAAATATATTGTTTTTCATTCACAACTTCAGGGGGACACAGTTGGAGGAATCAGCTGACCACCATTCTTAAAGTATAGTTTTCTCAAATTGTAAAGAACTCTATTCTGTGAGGCAGTTTCTGAAGGAAAATGCCATTTTAAGGAAAGGTTTTCATTTAGTGGTAGTGGTATAAAAGTAGGTACTGTGGTTCAGTCTTGGCAGTTGGACCAAAGTGAGTAGGGTGGCGCTGAGGGGGTCCCTCTGGGTGAAAGACAAGGCAGAGTACAAGGATGAATTAGTAATTCTTGGCTCAGGGTAGGATAGATCTAGGAAGAATCCTCCCCTCCTATGGACTTGTCCTTCTGCCCCATGGGAGACTGCCCTTAGGTCTTCAACTAACCTGGTAGAACCCATGAAGTTTTAATATAGGTAAAATGGGAGTGTTGCAGAGGGATCAGCTTGGTCTCAGTAACCCAACCCATAGAAGTTGGTCAATTACTGGTTTGATTCCTTCCATGACTTCTGGTTTTACTGAGTATTGCTTTTTATGGTGAAATGTGGCTCTGGGTCACAGTGTAACTTTATCAAGGTCTATTCCTTGAATTTGCCTGACTGTGAGCTATCCCAAACTTTGGGAAGAACTCTAGGTAGGTTGTACCTCTGGTGATGGAGTAGTATTTTCTAAGAAGCAAAGTAAATGATCTTGCTCTGACCTAGACTCATGGACTCCAGGGGTTTTATCTCCTAGGGAGATTTGGGCTAATTTGAAAAGGATATCCCTCCCCTTCAGAAGTGTTGGACACTCCAGTATGTAAACAAAAGCATGTAGAAAGCAGTTATCTTGGAAATGGCATAACAATGGCTTAGTCGAGGGTTTGAACTGGGGTTTTCCCTCCATCCCCATAACCCTACATTCAGTGGAGGACAAGGGTCCAAATAAGGCTGGCAAGATGGAGAAGGTTGCTCCTGTGTCTGACATAAGTAAAACAGTCTTACCTTCCACCTGGTGTGGCGCTATGGGCTAATGCATCAGACTGCAAAGTCATTTGAACTGCAAGGTTGGTGGTTCAAGCTCACCACCTGCTCCTTGGAAACCCTATTCAGGGTCTCTGTGGGTAGGAATTGACTCAAAGGCACTT